GCATTAGAAGAAATCAACACCTGCAATGCTTGCCTTGCGTCTCCATCCCACGTTAAGTAATTGATGCAATTGCTAAAGGAATATTAATTACTGAAGAAGGGGAGGGCAGGCAGTCCCACAGCCGTACAGAAGCAGTGGCTGTGGGACGAGCTTTCTACTGCGTCTGCGCATCGACCTTGCTGCACCGGTGGGGTGAGGCTGTTTCTCCGAGGGAGGTGAAGTTGGCGTGGCGTGCCGTGCCATGCCCTGGCTCTGGGGACCATGGTGTTTTCTCCATCCCAGCAGCTGGACCAGGAGAGGCAGGGCTTCTCCTTCTGCCTGGCATTGACACCATCTGGATGGCTTCCATGCATCCAGGCCATGCTTCACAGCATCCGTGCTGCCGGCACAGAGCTGAGAAATGAAAGAAAACAACCCAAATGATGCCATTCCACTGCACTAAAAGCAGTATTCAGAGTTCCCACTGCTGCTTCAGATGGGAACGTGCTCTTAAAGGCTGGAAATATCAAAAGCAGCACTGGGAAGGAAAAAAATCCAGACAAACTGCTGATTGCAGCTGCCTGGCTGGCAAATAGTCAGTGCTCCCAGAGCGGGTGGCACAGGGAAAATGAGCCCTGTCTCCACTTGAGGACCAAAGGACAAAGTTCCCCTCTGCTGTACACAAACTGAGCGGCACAGGCAGCCGGAGTGGGGCCCGACTGGCCTCGTGGGGTGTGCAGGGGATGGGATCATAGGGAAATACCTTTGGCTGGGTGATGGGGCAGTGTAGAAGTGCTTGCTACAGTGAGGAGCACTGTGCTGCAAAGACGAGGAGTCATTTAAGCCAAACCCTAGACTTTATAGCAAAAAGAAAATCAGGAATATGTGAACCGTCTGTTTTGTAAAGAAATAACCTTCAGGGTTTCCTCTGCTGCAACCTCAAGAAATTCCACAGCTGCTGCTGCGTGGGAGGGAGCCCCAGGAGCATTTTTCCCCTCTGCGCGTGGCCGATGCTCAGGGCTGGCTGTGGCCGGGGCTGGGGAAGTGCTGTGCTGAGCAGTGCACGCTGCAGCCCCCCTGCCCCGTGCAGCCAGAGCCTCTTGCTCCGTCCTTTTCCCAGCCTGTGGTAAATGTTGTTGAATTCTTACAAATCCTTGTGTTTTGTAGAGCGTCCGGGACATCGGTAGCCCCATCCCGGAGGCTTCTGGAGCTGCCTGAAGTGCTAGGAGTGCAAGGGGCACAGGGAATGTGCTACAATGTATTTTGCTACTCCTGGAGGTATTTTCTACTCCTAATTGCTGCCCCTTGGCTGCAGAAAAAAAATGCAGGTCTGCCTAAGGAAACAAAATTCTGTTCCTGTTTTCAAGATCCAGGACAAGCAAGGGAAAAGCAGCACAGACTGCTCTGAATGCCTGCAAACACCATTTCCCTCTGCCTCACTGCTGTTTAACACCTGCCGGGGCTGTTAGGAGGTGCCTGCCCAGGAGTCACTGCAAAGAAACTGGCTACCGAGAAACTCCAGTCCAGGGCTGGATGCAGGCAGTCCCTGCCCTGCCCTGTGTGCCCTCCTGAGCCACTGCCTGCCATTGTGCCACTGCTGGCCCCTATAAAGGAGCCGAAAGTGTTTTGGGAAGCTGGTGCATTGCATAAAAGCCCCTGTAACAGAGCACCCACCTCGAGGTGCCCCGCAGGGTCTGGCTGGGCAGGGGTGTGGGGTGTGGGAGTGGGGTGCTCCCTGGGATCCCTGAGCATCCTGCCCAGCCCTGCAGATCTATGCCCCAGGCCTTCGGCCCGGTACCCTTGCTGGGCAAGAGCGAGATCCTGGGCATGGGCTGCAGGTGAGGGGGCTGTGACTGCTGGGGGGGGCTGTGGCTCTTGGGGGACACGTGAAGGGCTGAGCCAGCTGCCCCCTGCCCGGCTCCTGCTGCTCCTCTTGTGACACAGCCCAGCACAGGACGCTCAGCACGTCCAGGGCCAGACCCCGGACCAGCAACAGAGCACCGGGGAGCTGTGTTCCTCCCGGTGCCCCGTCCCAGGGCGGAGCGGGGAGCACCGGGGAGCCGGGTCCCGCCCCGTGCCCCATCCCGGGCCGGAGCGGGGAGCCCTGGGGAGCACCGGCTCCTCCCAGTGCCCCGTCCCAGGGCGGAGCGGGGAGGACTGGGGAGCCGGGTCCCGCCCCGCGCCCCATCCCGGGCCGGAGCGGGGAGCGCCCGGCTGG